GCCCGCGCCCGCCCCGCCCCTCTCGCGCACCTGTGGGTTGCTCCGCGCCAGCGCAGCCAGCAGGCCCAGGCACAGCAGCGGGCCCAGGTGGTGCAGGCGGAAATCCAGGCGACTCAGGATGCGGCGCTCGGCGCGCAGCAGCTCCGCCGGCGAGAAGGAGCCGGCACCCAGGAGGCAGAGGGAGGCGGGCTGCAGAGAGAATGAGGCGGGGGCGGGCCGCCGCGGGGGGCGGGGGAGACGCTGGGGCCCCAGCCTTCCCTTTCCTGCCTTGAGGGGCCTAGGGTCAGCCCAGCCCCGACCCTAACCTCCAACTTTCTGTGCTGTCGGAAGGGCCGGGTAGCTTAGTGGGTGGGTTATGCGTTGCGCTGCTAACCGCCAGAATAAAACAGCTCCACAGGAGAGTGACAAAGCTTTCTACTCTCGTGAGGAGTCAGTCCTGGAAACCCACGGGGGCAGCCCTATCTGGCCCTATCGGGCCGTTCGTTGGGAGCCAGAATGGACGCAATGGCATTGAGTGTGGTTTTTGCTTTTGGTAGAGAGGGCCATGGGGCCCTTTTGTGTCTGGTCATTGTGGTGAGCACACGGTGTGGGAGCCAGAAATACCTGGTTTAAGTTCAAACCTTCTCTCTGTGTGTGACACACAGCTGGTTGTTCACGTGAGCTCTGAACCCCCTTTGAAAAGGGGAGCGACTACCCTGGTGGCTTACGCTGTAGGCTGCTAACCTCCAGATCAGCAGCAGTTCGAAACCATCAGCCGCACCTCGGGAGACAGGTGAGGCTTCCTGCTCCTCTCTCAAAGTTACAGTCTCAGAAACCCAAGCGAGCAAGTCTACTGCCCTGTAGGATCGCTATGGGCCCGCATCGACTGGATGGCAGCCAGTTTGGTTTGGGCTTTCACCAGGCAGTGCTGAGAAGTCCGGCGTCACACGTGTCAAGCGCAGGACGCACGTAACTTTCCAAGAGTGGAACCCAAGCCGCTTCCTTTGGGCCTCTCGAGACCTGTCTCTTTCTCTGGTGACTGGCTACACCGGCAGTGCAAACCTCACTGCTGGGTTTGGATTCCAAGAGTAGGAGCCCCGCCCCCGCCCCACTGGGCCCCGCCCCGGAAGTACCTCGGGCAGCACGCGCTCTTCCACCTTGCAAGCCACGAACAGGCTCGCCATCCCCAGGAGCTGCAGGCGGTGCAGACGCACTCGGCCCGAGTGCAGGTAGGAATCGAGCAGATGCACGGCCAGGTACAGGGTGTCCCCCTCCAGGCCCAGGTACTCCTGGGGAGGGACACGGGTGACAACCCAGACTCCGGGCAGCGACGCGTGCCCAGCCCCGGCTCCTCCTGGATGTACGTACGTGCACCTGGACCAGCCAGTCCACCACCAGTGCGCGCATCTCCGGGGTCACGGCGCGGGGCAGAGCGCTCCGGGGCGGCGTCCGGCACACCTGGGGTGGGACGAGGCCGGCCTCATCCTCCACACCTGCGCATCGCCCAGCTCGAGTGCCAGGCCAGCGGGCATAGGCCTCTGGGACGCTTGCTAGAAGTCCCGCCGGTGCCTCACCCAAACGGACCTTCCACCGGGCTCCTTTTTCCGGCCCCTCCCCACCCCCATCCCCCCAGACCACTGGCGTCCTCAGCGACTCCCTTGGATTCCCAGACACACTCTCTAGGCCACCAACCCTCAACCTAGCCCGCTCAGAGCACCGGGAAGGACCTTTCTCCAGTATCCATCTGACCCAAGGACTAACCTTCCATGGCAACAGAGAAACACCGGTGATAGTTGAACGTAATTGAAACGCAAGTAACCTCCCAACACACTACCATCGAGCGATTCGGACTCCGTTTCAGACTGCTGACCTTCCTTCCACTCGGCAGCCCTCTGCGTAACTCACTACTCCCCAGGGTCCTGCGTGGACGGGACTCCTATCCTGAACTTGGTGAGCTGGCTCGGGGTTTTCTAGACACATACAGCTGCCCTGCCTGTTCCTGGCCATTGAGTTGATTCTAGCTCACGGTGACTGCCACAGGAAACTCAACGAACCCCCTTCCTCGACTCCCAGTCCCCTCAGGATAAAATCTCAACACATCACAACCCAACACCGCAACCAGGCGGCCGAACCCTCTGCCATCAAGTCCAAGTCCATAGGACCGTGGCGACTCTATGGGGCAGGCTGGACCTGCCCCTATGTTTCCAAGACTAATTCTTTAAAGGAACAGAAAAGCTTCATTTTTATCCCTTGGAGCCACTGGTGGCTTTGAACCACTGAACTTGTTACAAACCCAATTCAGAACTCACTATACCACCAGGGCTCTGGTTCACACCAAACTCACGCCCACCAGGGCTCTTTGCACCCAGGCAGGGACTGGAGTTCAGCTGCCTCCGGTCCCAGCAGAACCGAGCCGCTTACTGAAAGAATCCATCCCTTCTTTCCTCACAGAGAAAGGACCTATCTCCCACAGCTGTCGGGGGACCCCGTGAGCCTCTGGGCCTCCTTGGAAATTATTTCCTATTTGTGTCTCCCTCAAACCGAGCACCTCTAGTCCAGCAGCCTTCAAGAATACTTAATTAAATCTGAATTCTTTGTTGAGTGAAGAAATACGAGGGGCACGTGTGAAGACGTTATGAGACACCAATGGAGAAACGAAGGCCTTGGAGTGGGGGAAACGGAGAATAAGACCTGGGGCGCTGGAGAGCCAGCGGGTAGAGGTGGGGGTCTGGACACAAGTACTGGGGGCGGGGGGGCGGGAGACAGGTCAGCTTCGCCTCCTCGGATGCTGATACACTCACCGGGCCGCCGTCCTCTCCCCCCACCCTACCCCCAGGGCCCCTCACCATGACTTCTGCGAAGATGTCCCCGGCATACTCGCGTTCTCCCTCCAACCCAAGGAAGCCCAGGGCTGCTTCCAGGCCTGGCGGTGCCCACATCCCCGGGGGCCTCGCCTGGCACCCTAGGGGCAGACACGTGGCCTCAGGGACGCTCTCTGGGGGTGCGCCCCTTGGAGGTTTGGGAGCATGGGAGACAGCTGGGCTCCGCGAGGGACAGAGGCCTGGAGTTGGGGTCCGGGGAGACCGGGACCCGGTGGTGGGTCCCTGGCTTCTGCTAGCCAGCATCCTCCAAACTGGCGTGGCCCCGACCGCTTCCTAATAGAGGGCGGGGCCCGCGACGGGCGCGCATGCGCGGAGCAGGGCCAGGTCGACTTGGGAAGGTGATTGAAAAACAAGCCCCGCCCTCCACGTGCGGATCAACCAGCTGCGACCACAGGGCTAAGGCCAAGTCCCAGCTGGCACAGGCCCGTTTCCTCCTATACATCCGATTTTTTTCTCCCCCAATTAAGGGGACAGGTGTCACGAGGGCTTTGTGAGGTTGTTAGACGAGTGTCCTGCACAAGGCGGCCGCGTGGGAACCACGAATCGCTTCGCAAAGGCGGCGCCGTGGTTAAGGGCTGCGGACTGTAATACCAATCACTGGTTCAAAAGGCATCAGCTGCTCCAGGGAGAAAGATGGCGCCGACGGCCTGCAAGGACGACCGGTTTGGAAACGGGCTGGGGGCAGTTCTAACCCAGCCCGAAGGGTCTCTGTCGGAACCGACTCGATTCGGTGGGATTCGGAGACGAGCAAGCCCGTGCCCTCCCCACGCCGGGCCTGGAGCGGAGATGCTGCGGGGCCGGGACTAGTACCGCCTGACTATCGAATGCCCATCACATCTTGCCTTTGCCCGTTAGTCTGACGGTTCTTCCGTCCCTAAGGGTCAAGGCCAGTCTTTGTTCTTATTGCCCAGGAACCCCTCCGAGCTCATTTCTGACCCCTCAGCCCCATTCATGGCTCCAGGGCCACACTGGCTTCCTCACACAGTCCTCAGGGCCTTGCCTTTCCGGGCTCCCCC